AGGTCTAATAAAATGCACATTGATCAAATAATTACGAGTATAGAGTCAAAAATGCTAAAAATGTATCAACAAAAAGGGGGGAAATGTATCAATTATAACTACGATAAACATTACACTTTTGAGTGTCTATCATCCAATCACGACTCCGGCAACAACGCAATTTGGGTGGTCTGAGCCCTAACAATCCCTCTATGATAGTCGAATTTCCCACCACATATATGTAGATGTGATAACTGTGAAGTACGTACGTAATTTCCCATCTCCGAGAAATTAATATAGTAATCGACGAGCAAGAAGAGAGAGAGTTCAGTTCCCCTCACAAAGTGGGCAGCTAGCCCTGCAATCAAACGGACTGCATCTCTTTATGTATGCATGATTTTATGAAGATGACCAGATTGATCATTTTTATTCCTTATTATTATTGTATGAACGGGGAAAAAACCATACCGATTATCAATCGATGAAAACAAAACAACCCACCCAAATTACAAGTTGGCCGGCGATTATTAGGTCGCGTGAACCGGCCGGGGAAAAGGCAACAACGAAAAGCAAAGCAAAGCGGTACGCAAACTCCTTGGAGTGTGAAGTTAGTTATGCAGCTGTGCACAAGCAAGTACAATAATGGTTCTGACCTTCACCACATAAGCAACCCACCCAGCAGTAATTAGGATCTGGATGGGGACCACACAGGTTTGGGAAAACCGACTGACATCTCGGGTCGTCGCAAACATCATTGCACCTGTCCTCTGCCCGGGCCGTCTTATTGTTCACCATCACCACACCTCCTCTTATTGGCAGGAAGCTCAAGTTCCTCGCCGCCGTCGGCGTCGGAGCATTGTCGGCCGGCTGGGGGCCAACTATTCTCGAGGCCAGAACACCTGCACATCATCCATGCAAATAATAAATACGATCATCAGCAGAGGACGAACAAGAGTTTGGTCTAGTATGGTAATACCAATAGCCGGGAACCTGGAAGTAAACAGGTGGTTCGAATTTCTAAAATAGTACGAAAAAGTAAATCTTTATCACCACGTACATGGAAGGATGATGATGATGATAATGAGAAGAGGGACTACTGCAGCAGCCAACTTAGCAACACTACTACTGGCCGCCATGGCTAGCTGATTTAGCTGCTTCTTCTTTCTTTTTTTTAGGGTTTATTATAAATATGCAGAGTGAGAGAGTAGTACTGCTACTTACCTTACACGAATGCGTATTTATAGTACGTAGCAATAATGCGATGGAGGCAGTTGTTAAATGAGGTGATGAATATATCAATGAATCTCTATTCTTGGGTGTGGATTCGACGGCATCGCACCTCTTGGTTTCTAGCTATTTTCATTGGCTTCTCCGACCGTGATCGACCAAAACCAATTACAATATGACAACCTCTTTTAACTCCTAATAAAAAATCCGGCAAGAATCAAACAACTCATATGTTTACAACTGTAACGGATTATCAACTAAGCAATAAAAAAAAATCAAAGTTTAAACCTGATAATCCTGAAGATCATGATTAATCCAGGGAAGAGATTGTGCTCTCCAAAGCTGCACTATAATCCGATTCCTTGAGTTTACAACGATTAACCCTAGGATATATATATGGCATAACACGGCTACGTACTAATTACTAATTACGCAGACACTTAAACATAGGTTTGATAAAATATAAGTTGGTACTTTGATAAATTATAAGTTGATAATTATATATAGGGCATAACGCTAATAGCTATTGTAATAAAAACAGTGAAACGATATTGATGTGATTCTGTTTTGTTTTGCGCCGTCTTAGAGTTTATAGTTTATGATTTAGATAATTAGGATCTAGGATTCACTCATTAAGGGTTAGGGTATAGTATCATGCTCACAAAATCCAGCTAATTTGAGGTCTAGAAAGCGTTTTCATACTCAACGTATGCGGTGGCCTGGATTTCACCCGGGGTACCATAGAAGGCACCATATATGTATGTTGGCGATATTTCTACTCAAATTTTTTTAAATACAATTTTACCATCATATTAAAAAAAGTTTGGTTATGTGCGGTGGGGTTTCTGTCAAGAACCAGTTGATCCCAATAACTCGAGTTGTTGGGAGAGAGGTTCAATCGTGGATCATATACTGTTTACTAACACACCCCCTCAAACTCAAGCCCATCAACTAATAGTTATCAATCTGATCATTGATATTATTACTATGATATAAACGAGCAAACAACCTACAAAACTCGATCTCGATCTTAATTATACCGTTACTTTATTCACTAAGCACGATCAAATACAGATAATTATCGAGCTGGTCGGTACCATCACTTTATTCATAATAGATCGTGTACACATACGAGTCTATGTTACTGCATCGACTCTTAGTTAACCTCTCGCTTATTCTCTTGCATACCTAAAAAAAGCTTAGGTACACGTGCACATAAACCATCCCCACACATTACCACCAGATCAACTCTTTTTCAAAATCCGCGTAGCAAATAATAAGCTTTAATTTGTCAGCTTATTAATTAATATATCTTGAATTTTATTTTATTTTTCAGCACAAGGTGTATGCGCAAGAACCACATATGCATTGGCACGACCGGCAGCAGCTACCGTCGGGGCAGTCATTGCAATCGCTATCCGTCGAGCAAAGTGGCTCGTCCCCACAGTAACTGTCACTGATCTCATCATCGGAAGGAACGGCGCCGTAGTATGAGTAGTTGGTCGCCGTCGTAGCTCCGTGAGAGTACTTGACGACGGTGACGTTGAAACCAGCAGCGGCTGTTAGCGACGACGTCGTACCTGTATATATAATACATAGACAGCGAGTAGGTACGTGGAGAGAAAGATTGAAGAACTTATAAATGAATTAAAAGGAAGCTTACGTGGAAGGAGAAGCAACATTGTTACTGGAAGCAGGATCATCGCCATTGATGCCAACTTTGCCATCTTTAGTATTACGAAGATTAATTAATATCCTTAATTTCTATATCTGCACTTAGTTTTGATCTTGATGAATGATGATGAGCAGCTCCAGCAGCCTCCATACTTATAAGAGTTTTGTACAGTGAGAGATGTTTGTGGGATCGTGATCTCTTGTGTGTTTGGTGAATATAATATTTCTGGTCTATAGGGGACAAAAATTCATCTAAACTTGTTCGATACAACTTTCAGAAATTCAATCTGATTAAATGACTATTATAATAAGGACGAATTTACGTGTGACTATGTATGAATTGGTTTTTTAATTCTTGTCATTATGATATGAATTTAAACCATGTTCAAACTTTTCTTGAAAATGTGTGGACCGTCGTGTTATCATCATTGTGACATTGTGTTAAGAAATCAAAAGTGCAAATCAAAATATTTCTCTTAACTCGGAACAACAAAGAGTAGTGCATGCAGTAATATTAGCTTATTTTCCAGCGGCGGCTACGCGCCTTTCTGCCTGATTTTAGATGAGAAAGGTCGACTCGACTAGAAAACAACAACATCGTCTTTATTAGAAACATAAAGATTTCTTCAAATAAAAGAGTTACTGTAGATTTAGCTTTGAAAGAGGCTGAAGCGCGTTGATGTAAGAGATCAATCATGTTTTAGAAAGACTCTTTTTGATTCATCGATTATGTAAAATAAAAAATTCGATTAATCTTTTATCACCCCTAAATTCATATGACACCAAACTGTTATGGAAACACCATGGAAAATATTCTGCCGCCTATAGTATAGTGCCGGTGCCGTAAATTACTCAAATTTGGATATCATTATATATTGTAATCAAAATAGTGAAACATTAATTGCTGAGATTCTGTTTTGTCTTCGCCGTCTCTCAACAACATTCCTTCTTCACCATCAATTCATGAAAGGTCAACTAAAATTTCAATTGGAGTCAATATAGAGCTCGGAGGTGTAGTAGTGGAGCAGGTTTCTAGTGGTGATCGTAACTTGAAATTTGCTACAACAGGAATTCGGATTATATGTCGTCTAATGTAATTGGTTTCTCCTGTCTGTGAGTAAGGTAACACACATTGTGTTAGTTAACTATATAAAATAAAATGTGTTCGTCACTTTCTTACATCATATAGAGCTCTTGGGGTTTGCTTGATGTGTGAACCCAATTGGGCCAATGATTGTTGGGTCATAACTCTCACATTTGAGGATTGAGAGTGACCCCATGTTTGTGGGTGATTTTAGGCGTAGGTCTCGCGAGTAATTTTGTAACACGATGTGTGATAATATGTAAATGTTGAATATATATGACTAAGAGTTTGAAGTGTATATGTAAGAGATCAATCATGTTTTAGAAGACTCTTTTGGTTCATCGGTTCTATAAAAAAAAAATCGATAAACCCATTACCACAATCTAATAAATCATTGGAGACAAAACTCTTCTGAAAAAGCCATGGAAAATATTCTGCAGCCCATAGTTTTCGGTGACGTAGATTACTCAAATTTTGATATCATTACGTTATATAAATATATATAATTGTAATCAAAACACAGTGTTGAGATATCGCTCAGATTCTGTTTTGTTTTGCGCCGTCTAAAATCGGCCTCCGGTCGAACATTTGGTACCCTTGTCTGTTAGTGAACTCGTGATCAGAAGGATAAATAAATAAATAAAAAGTGAAACATATACGTGTGCTAGCCAGCTCTATATATAGAATCAGTAAATTAATCAGCTGATCATCGTATTATTCATTCAATCCTAGGTTCGAATTTTGGGCCAACAATTAACGGGAAAACGTTGTACGTTTTTTGCTCACCATTTGGTATACCCTCGTCCTCACGTTGCTCCTTTAATTTGCAGAACATTACTCCGTCGCCGGCCATGGCCATCGCTTCTTCATCATCAGGCGGCGATGTTGATCAACCAGGTAGCTAGCTAGTTGGTTCCACTTAAACCTTCTCCTTCAATTACCGTTTTTTTTTTTTTTCTTTTCTAAAATGGTTATGCTTCTTCCCTGTTCTATATTTCTGCAAACAAGTAAGGTTTTGGATCAGGCCTCTCTCAGCTTAGAACACGCCAATTTATTACTACTTTGTGTTGACGGTACGATTAGTAGTGTAAGAGTAATTTAGTATTTTGTTATGATAGTATATAGATGACAATTTATACATAAGTATTCTCTTTATCAATTCAATTGGGTTGGGTATGAAACTAAAAATCAAGATAAATTAATAGGTAGTGTTTGATGAGTTTATAACTATACCAATTTACTTGAGTTGGATTTTTAATCCATCGATTTGGGATTGTAATTTATTTTTAGATTTAGTACCTTTTTTTGCATATAAGTCTTCAAAATCTCGATGTAAAATTACATTTTTAGATCCCATTTTTACACATAGATCCAATTTTGTATGTGTAGTTAAAACAACCTCAAGTAAATGGGCATCCATACCCAAGCTATATATGTCCATTTAGAATAGGGAAGCAATACATGACATAGTCTACCCAAACTCATATATAGACTTCACCAGTACGGGCAGTACCTAAGCAATAATCAATGGGTTTCTTTGGATTTAGGTAAAATTACACATGAATAGGTAATTGTCATCTCTAATAAAGGATATCAATGAAAAAACCTATCAAAGTATCATCAGCATTATTTCTCTTCTCTCCCATCTCGATCTTCTAGCTAGAAGCCCTAATCCCCAATTATAAATCCACCCAATTTTCTGGATCTCGAACAATATAAATCTCTTTCTAAACTCTACGATGTTACGCTTAATCTCGGGGCCAAACTCCGCGCTTGCAATAATTTGTGATCAACTATTATTGGGATTTCGACTGATATATGTGCTTAAGTAACTGGTGGCAAATTGTTTTTTTTTTTAATCAGAATACTTGTGCTGGCTGTGCTGCTGCATAATCACGTATATTAGTTACAGCTACTCATATTGTAAAAAATTATGAAAGAAATTAGTGGTGGCAAAAAAAAAATTACCGCCAGTCAAACGTATAATAACACCTTTGATTGCATAATTGTATCAACAAAATCCGCTGTAGCTGGTAAAAATTGATACAAACCAATCGTTCCCTAACCGGGAGCTCCGGGTTCGAGTCCCGGCAGCGGAATTAAGTTTTTTTTATTTCCTCCAAAATTGTTTTTACTGCTTTTTGTCGGTTCATTGATTCCCCATTATTTCACTGATATGGTTAGTGAGTGGCCATGCATTAGAATACACTAACAAAGCGGATAACCGTCACTAATGGAAGACTACGGTGGGAATGAGAAGGCAGAGGACTAATAGCACTATCGAATGAAGACCCTGGAGATTGCTGTTTCTGGTGCCGAGAAGACGACAATGGCGAGAGAGCTGATGCTGCTGCTGTAAATACTCTGTATCTTGTCAACCTTCCTTCTCCTTCTCCTTCAGCCCTTTGTTGCTGGTGTTATGTTTTGCTCGTGCTTATGACTTGATGAAGTGATCAAAGGTGCGGACTTTGCAAGTTCGGATAGAGGGACTGCAGGGCTCAACTTCCAGCTGTTCTTGTTCCTTAGATCCTTGGCCTTGTACCAGTTGCTGCTGTTGCTCCTACTGATCAGATTCCAAGGAGTTTTCTAGTTATCTAATGCAATGTGCTCGGTTGGGCTTCAACTTGCAGCTCTACGAAGATCATTAGCCTTCGTCCCGCTCATTGGAAATCTGTGGTTGAACTGGTTTTTGGTTGAACATCTTGCAGCTGCTCTACGAAGATATTTGATCTTCAACCTGCGGTGGCTTCCCTGACTCCTTAGACTGATGCTGATGTAACGAGTAATCAGTTACACCCGTCCATGGTTTCAACTTATCAGTTGCACCAGCACTCGGTTCCAACTTGGGGATGTTCTCATGAGTACCTTCCACTTGCAGTTTCTCGTCATGCTCTTTATGGTCTAAGCAAGTCTTACATCACAAAAGTCATTACTAGTCTGGTCGTTAACATGTCCCCCCTGGCCTTGAACTTGTCCATGTTGCTTACGAGGACTTTGAAGATAGATTATCCGCCCAGTACTGGGCTCCAAAGCCAACTTAATTGGAAGTGCCTTCCCATGATTTTGCAACTCCTTTTCATGCAGTGAAGGCAACCGCTCAGTCAGGACTTCAACTGATGTCTCTTCAGGTTGTGAGGAACCCTGGCCCTGGTGCTGCTGGCACCTCTGAATACAATCCTCTGATGTTGGCTGATTCATCTTCAATTCTTTCATAGGGATTTTGCCCTCCTGTTCTCTAGCCTGTCTTGATTCCTTGACATTTGGTCCTCTATTCCGAGATCTTTTGCACCTAGGGCCTTTTATAGTCCAGCCCATATCATACATTAGGCAAGCACTTATTGGTTTAAGACCCTTCGCAGCCACACAATGAACTTGACGAGGTTCAGAAATGCTTCTATCACGGGGCCACTTTCCTTGGCATTCCTTTTCAAGGCCACAAACGATTTCCCACTTTCTTTCGCACTCCTTTTCAAGGCCACAAACGATTTGTCGTTCAGATGATTCATTTTGCTGGAGTGGCAGACTCGGAGAGGATAACCGGATCGTTAGCTTTGTCGGACGTTTTAGCTGTTCACTTAGAATATCTGCACGTGCCTCCTGTTCTGGGGGAGATGTCAGCAGTTCATCAACTTCTCGAGACACCTTACGATGCTGGGTTTTCCCTTTCCGCTTACCCTGCCTCCTCACTTTTGAAATATCAGACTCAGATGCAGTTCCTGAAACAGAGTCCGGCAATGCCACTACTTTTGTCCCAGTATGGTTTGACACATCTACTGCTTTCACTTTATCCATGGCATCCTTCAAAGCTAGTTGAACATCTTCTGCCTTCTTCAATAACTCCATATAATGCTCCTGTAACAACCCGCACGAACCAAAAATTACAAGGTGCGCCAGTTTAGTAGCACAGCAATATCTAGATACTTAGCCACACGACTCAACCCCATCAAGGATCAAAAGGAACTTCTTACCTCATCAAACAAATGTTTCTTGTTACTAGACTGCAGGTTCTCCTCACAAAACCTTGCTGCAGTGTCGCTATAAATTCATGGAAGGAGCAACAAGTTCAGACATTATATTGCCACATAATGCCTAAAAATCAAACAAGAAGATTTACTACCAATGAAACAAAATCACTAACATGGAAGAGAAAGCACCTCAAATCCCCAATCGTGTCCAACACTCTGTCATGTTTTTCTTGTAGCTTCCTTTGTTTTTCGACACTTACAACTTCTAGCAGCCTTAAACAACTTACTGCCTCAAGGGTTTTCGCATTCAAAGTCGGATCAACTTGAACCGCTGGATCATTACCTTCCACTTCTTTGCTCGGTAAAATAACCAATGCAGTTGCCTCATTGGCACATTCAGCTTCCAATATTTCTTGTCGGTCTCCTGAACCTTCATTTCCTCCAGGTTCCCTGAATACATCCCCTACATCGCCAGCCCCCTGCACACATCCTTCCTCACCTTGCAAAAGTTCGATCCTTTCTACTTCTCTACGACCCACCAGCTTCCCCCTTTCCTCAATTCGGTCAAAACTTCCTTCAAACCCAGGTGGGAACTCCTCGCTCTCTTCCTCGCTACATCTATCAGTCCGAGCCTCACATCCTTCTTCTCCTCCGTTACTTAAATTCTGATTATCACCATCCTCCACCACCAAATTCTCCTCAACAACTTTCCTCACCTTACTGCCTCTCCAACCCTTTCCACCACCACGCCTACCCCGTTTTCGTCCCATCCCACGAATCGAACCGCTGCCACTCTCATCCCCTTTCTCATTCTCTTCCACTCGAACCAAGTACCGATTCTCTGCAGTCAAAACTATCTCCCTGCCCTTCACAAGCTTGTCCAACTCATGCACTACCCTAGCAAAATTCACAACAGGGGAAACATCATACTCCCTCGCTATAAATTCAGATATCTCGTCCTTACTACACCCCATTCCCTCATTCAACCTCGCCATCGCAGCACGAATCATCTAATACAGACGAACAAAAAAGGCAACAAATCACTTCAAACATCCTACGACTGATTAAACATTACCCTCATTTTTTCTGGGTTCCGATGGAACTTACCACGGGGTAAACGGGATGGTCGCGGGTAACGTTGTTGACGGAGGAAATGAGCTGCTTGATGAGCTGAACCTGGGCCGGCCTCACATTTGGAGTGTTGCTCGCCATTGACCCGATCATGGCATCTATGTTGACGCCGGCCGTCCATCGCTGCTCCTGAAAAGAAATTAAAAACTGAAATTGATTACCCAGAAGAGGAAAGAAAACCCCGGGAAACCCTAAAGGCGGGAAATGAAAGGGGATGGGAAATGGCAAAGATGATAAATTTGTGAGGGGTTACTACTACCATGTTGGTGGGTGAGCCGGTGAAGAGGGTGGAGAATCGGCGGACGAATTCCGTCGACATTCTTGGGAAGTTATAGGGTGGTGTAAGCGAGGGAAATCGACGGTTTCACCGCCGTAGATTTCTCTAACAGAGAGAGTCCGGCGGATGGGTAGGGGTAAAAAGAAGTAAGGACTGGGTCACCTTCCCAGCGGTCAATTTGCATATTGTATGAAGTAAAAACAGAATCCTTTCATAGATAATTCAAATAAATAAATAAATAGTGAGAATTGGGGTTACTCGACTAAATTATTATATGTAACCATTGATGGTAAATCATAGCTAAAACATGAATTGAATCGACTGTCTTTTATATTGGTACGTCGATTAGATAAGTAAAAAAGTTTATATGTAGTACAAAATGAACACGTGTGGAACGCGCGAAAAATTATACCCTGATTGCAGGATTATTATTTTGAAGAGCGTAATCTTTTTAGAGATTCAAGCTTAAATCTCTCATACAAAGTTAAGAGTGTTACAATAGGATTACATATCATTTCACACCATCAAAGAAGATATTACTAATCATTAATCACCGTTATTTTTAACACTTGAAACACCATCAAAGAAGATATTACTAATCATTTCACACCATCAAAGAAGCTTAAATCTCTCATTAATGTTGTGTACATTTCCTTATTGTTGAAAATACAGAAGGCAAATAAGCAACTGGACACAGAGGAAGAGGTTCAGGACGAAGAGGTTGTTTAATCTTCTTGTAAGATCCTCCCTTGCTGTTGTCATCTTGTTCCCGCCTTCTGCAAGTAAAGAAATAAAAACAAAGCTCCATGCCACACTTCACGAAATGCAGATGCAATCCTCGCTTAGCAGCTAGGTGCGGTGCAGCAGTAAAGCTCTCAAACACTTGACTGCAGTTCAAGTTCGTGCAAGCGAATGTATGTACCTCGTAGAAAATGTGTCACATAGTGGCACGCACCTCTTTTTACCATCTCATGTTCAGTTGCAACCTGAATTTGGACGATCTTGGCTGGCTAATCAGAGCGCATTACCATCCGTTCCTGCAAAACGAAACACGAAACTCGACTGCAGAGCTGCTTCAAACAGACAGACAGCTTAGCATCATGATTGAATGAATGCCCTTCTCGTCAATAAACAGGAGCTGAAGAGAGAGGGAAACCATCTACAAAATAAAAAACTTCTTCAAGCTACATACAGAATTTGTTTACACCCAAAACTCGAGTCATTGATAACTTCCAGCTACTTGCAGCAATGAACATAGTCAGTCAGGTGAGACTATCTACCTCCCCTGCCTCCAAACCGACCATCATATCCTTTTTCTTGTACCGGCTTTGGTCACTCAGGACAAAGTCAGCAAACTCAGGAACGAAGGAGACCAAAGCGCCTCCTCTCTCAGAATTGAATCTCACTATATAGAATGGGTTATTCACAGGTCCAAATATTTCATCTATCAAACCCCAATGGAGATCGTTTCTCAGTTAACCTAAGGATAGACCCTCCCATTCAGAGGATTGTGCTTCTCAGTCCCTTTTACAGCGAATTGTGTGCCACAAAACTGATATGAAACCGATCATCGTCCTTAAAAGCCAATATCCTCGAAACTGATATGAAACTGATTGACAACAAGTGGGACTTGATCTGACTTTCATGAGTTGCTGATGATGATGAAGAAGAAGGAATGTTGTTGAGAGTAGTGGTGCAGAGAACTACTTTCCCTCCTGTTTGCTTTGCTGCAACAGCAAGTGCCATTGTTAGTGGGGTGATGCCATTTGGTGGTGAGGAAGTGATCTCCACCATGAGATTGGATCTCCTGCATGCTGCCAATGCTGCCACCAGCTCCATTGACTTGGGTTCTATGATTGATGAAGCAAATTGCTTCCTCTGCTCAAAGACCAAATCGATTCAGAGGCATGATTAGTATGTATTGCTCGTATAGCATTCCAGAATTGTAATAAAACCAACATTATATTCATGGTGAAGAAAAGAGTAGATCAAGTACAAGTTTAGAGGGTATCCCATCATTTCTCTTACCAACTGAAGGGCATGCAAGTAAGCTTTCATGGCATCCTGTGGAGACCAGTTTTCCTTGGAGAAAGGCATAGTTGAATTGATGTATCTCTTGCAAGTAAGGGACTTATTTGTTATACTGAATCTATCTGGATTCGATCTTTGATGTTGTGGTGGGTTAGTTGTCTTTGAGTTGGTGACTTGGGGAATATATAGGACTCGAGCAGTAGATATGTGGCCCATAATTTGGAGGGACAGGTACCCTTATGGAATTGGTTGCAGAGATGGAGACAACAAAGATGGCTTGCATGTTATAAAGACGTCGTGGCAGATGCTGAGAGCATTGCTGTGATTTCCCATGTGAGGAGCTCTCCAAAACCAATAGTAGTAGAACCCTTTGCAAAATCAAATCGGTGACCCAAACCAATAATGTTTTGGATGAGAAATTTTAATAGACCAATCTAATATAATTGTTTTGTTTTGAGATAATTGCGCGTTAGAATGATCAATTTGAAAGTATAAAATTTGGATAAAACTATTTGATATGAGATAATTCGAATTGACTCGTTTTACGAGTTTTTTAAAATGATACAATTGGCCAAATTGTCTCGTTTTGCAATTGAGTCATCCAAACGAAGAGATTTGCAAGTTCACATTATATTCGATTCATATACAATCAAACGAAAAATTAATTGAAACTTTCAGAAATTCATTTCATGTTGCGGTTAGGTTAAATATTAATAATGAAATGTGCAATTTAGAATACGAGATTTCTCGCCCAAATACTCTAACACCATGTCTTGCATTAGTTCATCTCAATAATTCGAATGGTTCTAACTCATGAATTTAAAACTTCGACAAACGTCATATTAACTTAAACATTTAGTATTCTTGCATGAGAATTTTGTCAAGTGACCTAATATCCAGCAGCGGCGGATCTAGGGGGCCGCCCCCAGGCCACGGTCCAGCCCTCCCCGGATCCAAAACTTGTATAGTACTTGTAAATTTCCGATTTTTTGTATATATTTTAATGTTTATAGGGTTACGACCTAGCTCTCTCCATCGCTTTTTAAATACGGTCCAGTGCTCTAATCTGTTCTGGATCCGCTGCTGATATACAGTCATGAGTCAGTTCATCACAATGATCCAGTATGATTGAGAAAGATATTACATTCATCGGGCAGAAATATTCTTAACTCTAGAGTATCCAATAGCACTAGGCATTCTGATAATTGAGTGTCCCAATACAAACTCTTGGGTGCTAGGGAAAGGGATAGAAAAAGGGCATATATCATAACTTCATAAGGGTCATATAGATAATAGGGTGACAAGAGGGACACTTGTCCTTAATTTCCCAAAATGGGTGATTGAGATTCAGCAAACAAAATGGTCTATGTGGTCTCTTTCTCTTCATCATGATTCATGGGGAACATGTTGGGAACGTAAGAAAGGGAATTTCCTTGAGATGTGAGAAATACATTTGAGGTTTGCTTATTTATTGCAGGTCAACAGTTCATCCCAAATCCATTCTTGCACTCAATCCAGCAAAAATCCAATCTTTATAATAATAGTATACATATATCTGTTCTCTTGTGAAATCAAGGTGCGGGTAACATATGCAATGCACCATAATATGTTGTCATTGTAGGGTAGTTCAAAAGTTGAGAGACTGCCCTTTGGGGGACAAGGGGGACACCATCCAATTTACAAAAAGCAAAATATACAATGAAATTTCTAAATGATTCATCAATGACATTTCTTACAAAAAGCAAAATATACACCCATCCAATTTACATGCAAAGGAGCCAACTCCTACAAAATTATCTAGGCACAGTTTATTTTACTAGTTGTCATTACCAATTGTAATGAAGTTTATTTTAGACTCCCTTTAATTTCCGTAGGCCCGCTGGCCCTATGGAATGTGATAATGATAATTATTAAAGTTTTTCTTTTTCTCTTTGATATCATTTTTCTCTCTAAGTTACATTCTTTACATGTTTAGATCAATTATATAAATAAAAATATAAATTATACAAAGTAAAATATTTTCTTTTTTAATACATAAAATAATCTTGATTATTCAATTACTTGATAAATAAAAATGTGGACATACATCATAGGGTTTTCCTACAACCAAATCGAGGCATCTATGAAAATCCCAATTGAAATTCGAAACTAAGATCAAGTACGGAACAAACTTCTAAAGTCCCTAATACCAAACCACACTTCATTTCACTATGCATAGTCGCACATTAGAACAAATTTTCTTTTGACTTCTTTGTTGGTGGCTTAGTATCAACAACGTTATTGTCTAACCATTAACAACATAACTATCTTAATTATCGTCTCTAGTATGTCCATCTAATCAAAGCAGTCAAATCGGGATTTTACCTAAAATCGAAAACTGAGGTAAAATCGGAATCCTAAAATCGAATCGTAAAATCGTAGAATTTTAAGTTCCATATGGAAACTACATATAACAATACTAATAAGGTAAATCATTTAATAACAGAAAATCACATAACATTTAAAATGATATTCTCAAGTTTATGTTCCAAAATCATCATTTTAATTGTTATTTAATGCATAACTCAAAATAATTCACGAGGAAAGGATAGAGCTCATGGGGCTTAGCTCTTGTTTTTCATATTGTGTCTAGGTAGTTTAACTCAAAGTAGTACTTCAGCCCGGTTAATTTCAACATCGTAATTTAAAACTAAGAATAAAAGAACTCCAATAGAATAATTAATGCTAGTAGTTGATTAAAATATAATCATTAATTGTTAATAATTATGTTAATTCTTACATACGTACAATATTAGGGCAATTATTTTTACCGATGAGTTCAACCGGACGAAGGGAAAAGGATTGACCGAGCCCTAATTTGAATTTTTTTTTTCTTTTCAAATATTTTTTAATAGAAAAAAATATCTGAGAAGATGCCCTCATTGCCCTTTCCACCAAAACAGTTCATTTTTTTAATTTTCTCAAACCTCCCATTTTGTTCTCATACGATTTAAATCCCGATTTTGGTACGATTTTACTATTTTAATCCCGATTTTAAACGATTTTAAGGTGCACCGATTTTATAGTAAAATCTGGATCGGAATCTCTAAGTAAAATCTTAAAATCATACGATTTTAGGATCTAAATCCCGATTTTGACTGCTTTGCATCTAATGTCTCTTCCTTCTTCTCAACAACATTGTTATTTGTACCACCTACTCCACTACTCCCACCATCAAAAAGGACTTTATCTTTCCCCTCATTTCAGCGATAAGCAAATTTGAAAGCAAAACTTGTACAAATATGAAACATCATTACGGGAAATAAATTTACCTCACCCAAGTTATTTTCATTGTTATAGATTTGTTCTTTTTCATCATTGATTATCTTTCAAACTGTGAATTTACTTATAATATTTCTAATTTTTACTCATCAAATTCATGTGATTTTAACTCCATGACCTCAATTTGTGGGAGATGAGAAGAAAGAGATCATTTTGTTTTACCACTATTTTGAAATAATTTTTTAGCATCATGCAATTCCAAAAACCTCAGTCCTTCGCACTCCATAGCTATGAAGTCATATTCAACATTTTTCTTCATGGAGCTAGATTTAGATTCACTATTCAATTGAAAAGTATAAATAAAAAACGTGTCCAAAACCCTCCACCATTGCAACACACTTGATCTCCACTATATAATTGTAAGATGTCTTTTATACCCCTTGCATAAACTCACTTAAAAAAATATAACTAAGTTCATAATAACCACAATAAATGAAATTATTACTATACTACAATATAACTCTTAAAATTAAGGAATTTACATAAGTTTTATGTAAGAGATGACTTTTTACGCAATGAATATTAAAAAAAAAAATTTTATAAGGGAATGTTAAAAACTCTTACATAAGCCATTACAAAAATCTCATCTTACATGGTTTTTAAACTATTGTGTAAGAAATAGCTCTTTCCATAACATTTACCCAATATATTTGGATTATACAAAATAGTTGTAAAATTTTGTTATTTAAGTACATAATGGATGACATTTTGCATATTTAAATATTAAAATTGTGTTATGATAAGTGTCAAGTTAGTATGATAGTCTTACATATATATAACACATTAAAATACATATCATTGTGTAAGTCTCATATATAATGAATATTTCAATTTTTAAACCTTTTTAAGATATGAAATTGCAACAAAATCTATTTAAGATATGAAATCGCAATGCAATTCTTAAAAAGATTACTGAAATAAAGAAAGGCCCCTAACTAAAAATAAATCCAAATTCCAAAGAGCTCATACTTTCTTTTACGGTGGGGAATCTCTTTGATGAAAGAAAATGGGATGAGTTAAATTATTTAATTTGAAAAGAAAACAAATCCTTCTTACAATCGCTCAAAAGCCTCCGACTTCTCAAACTAAGTATGTTCTTAAGAAGAACCTCCATATATTAGTAGGATGATGACAGTTGTAAAATTTTGTTGCTTAAGTACATAATGGATGACATTTGCGTATTTAAATATTAAAATCATGTTATGTATTAAGTTAGTACGATAGTCTTGCATATATATAACACATTAAAATACATGTTATTGTGTACGTCTTATATATAATAAATAATTCAATTTTAAATCTTTTTAAAATGTGAAATTGCAATGCGATTCATAAAAAATATTACTTATAAAAAGGCCCCTTACCTAAAGAAGTCCAAACTCCAAAGAGCACATACTTTCTTTTACCATGGTAAATCTCTTTAATAAAAAAAATTGGATGAGGATTATTTAAAATATTTAACTTTGAAAGACAAAATAATCCTTCTTACAATCGCTCAGAAGTCTCAAATTCTAGAAGTAAGTAATTTCTAATTGAGAACCTTCATATAATAGTGGGATGATAATGATATACTTAATTGTTAAGTATCTCTACATATCTTAGTCCATCTTGTTATACACTCTAATTAATTTAATATTATCTTTTGCAAAAGATTGTTGTACGTGCATCTTGGCGATCTCTACCATAGAAGCCACGATGTGTTTAGCCTTAAATCACAATGCGCATATCTGTGAGATTTGTCCGTTCTCTATTTTCAATCTAATTGATGCCAAGGGGCATAGGTATTGGTTGGGTTTCGATAATCTATTTTGCACTTTGTTGACTAATTTTATTTGACGTTATGTTTATTACTTATATAAAATAGGCTGGATTTTCATCAAGAATTATATTTGTGTATCGAAAATGAGACGGTGCCAAGGGGCATGAGTATTGGTTGGGTTTCGATGCCAAACTACTTATATATAATGTTCTAGAAATGGCGGCTATCCTTTCAAATTGGATGATTTTCGGTTCTTCTTCTATCTTTTCACTCTTTCTTCTCAATTTTCCGATAGTTTGAGTCAAAAAATTTATGTGATCCACCTTGATCAGCACCGGGGTATCATGGTGGTTATACAATGGAAATGCCTTGAGCATTGTTGGATTTAGTCACGACCATGACCACAAGCTAAGTTGGATCGTACGGGAGAGTATGCAACACAAATTGTTGTACATCATAGGTAGAAAACTGTCTGATGAGAACACCGTGAGGCTTATTCCAGTAATTTTTTGATATGACATTGTTATGTTTTCATGGGATTAGTTGTAGAATATTTTCTTAGTTATAATAATTGGTTAGAATGGAAAATACTTTGTATGTACGTAGCAGAAAGTACAGACCAAACTATTATATGAGTATCGGGTTTATCACTACAATGTTGTAATTCGGATTGACAAGAATATTTCCTAATATCAACTTTCCCTAATCTCCCTCTCTCTTTTTCTTAGTTCTTTTGTTCTACTTTTAAACTCTTCCTAAGACACAATTCTCATATCATCCGCAAGGTGCTAACAAACTCGCATCTCCTTTGCTCTTACTAGTTTCGAACAAGAGGATACGATGAGAATGTAAGAGAAGAATACAAATTCATTAGATTTCATTAATTATTTTAGTACTTCATACTTTTTTTATCTTTCCTCTATTTATTTCATTTCATCATTTTTTAAAGATTAAGACATGTACGTAAGAGTACAAAGGAGTTAATTAGGGGAGAGATATGGATGTACCAAGAGGAGTATGAGTGGTGTTTCATGCCTTGCTCTTCAAGCAGTACTTTCTTTCATATTAAGAAATACACATGATATGTACATTTTCCACCTTGAAAATTCTTTTTTTTAATAAAAAATGTCTAGGCGAAATATATTTATGTTATGTGATTAGTCGTAGGGATATTTTGTATTTATAATTATTGGCTAAAATGAAATATACTTGATATGTACGTAGTAGAAAGTATGATGAACAATTTCCCCCCATTTTCCAATACTTTTTTATCTTCTTGGGAGGGGAAAAAACTCTTTCCCACCATTAAAACCCTTCTCACCTTATTTATGTTCTTTCTCATCCATCTTTTTCATATCCTCCGTCGAAATTCTAGACAACACCTCTCTTCTTCATCGTCCTTCATCTTCTCCATCTTTCTTATTCTTCCATTTTCCTTATTCTTCTTTCTCCATCTTCTTTCTTGTCCTCTGCAACAGCTTGTGATCTTTGAAGGTTATCGATCTAAGCAATGAATAACCCATGTTGTCACTGTGGGTACCCAACAAGTTTGAAGACTAGTTGGACCGATGCAAATCCAGGGCGGAGGTTCTATGGATGTAGCAAGTTTGGGGCAAGGAGAGCTTACAAAATAAGTGTCAAAATGGCTTGCATCTTCACTGTAATAGCAATTGTATTTGGTTTCATCTTGCTGGGAAAATAAGAAAATGTTGCTTCACTTATATCACTAGAATGTTGTTTATGTTTCAATTCTACTATTGTAATATGCTTTCAGTTTCATCTGTACTAGCAGAATGTTATTTAGTTTTCACGGAAGCCACTACGGAGTTTTTTATATTTCATCTCTATCACTATGATTTTGATTGCATTTCACGAGTGCCACTGCGGTGCTGGTTTTCTTTCGTTTGTATCACTCTGATATTTTCTCTTTGATATGCAACACCTTGTAAAGAACAGAAAAATACATAACATAAATGCAACCATAACCTGCTGAACATGGATTTAATCAAAAGCCATAAACTTTACTGAACACCTGTAAGTGTTTTACAGCAGCCATTATATGCCTTGAGTTAATCAAAAGAGCCACCTATACTTACTTCAATAAACTACCATTACTGGTCCCCCTAAAGTTCAACAATCTGTTCAACATACGACTACAAGACAACCATTATGCTTGTCCTAACCAAACACTACAATAGACATGAACGGCTTCAAAATATTCAATACAGCCATTTAGCTTGACCTAACTAAGCACTACAATAGACATGAATGGTTTCAAAAGTCTACACCCTACTCTTCACATATTGCACCTATGTGAGTCTTGGCTTGGTTGCTGGGACACTTGACTTACTGGCCTCTGGGAACTTCCCTGCAAAGTTAAATTACATCAGTAGGCTTATAAAAGAATATTGAATATGAGAAATGGAAAACATAAGAAGAAATAATACATCTGTCATCACTTGACTTGATGCTTGTTTGGCAGCCTTAGCTTGCAACTTCTTCAATGTCGCTAGCCTGTTCTTTCTGCTCTTTCAAGCTGTTTTCTTCTCTGTGTATCTTCCTTTTCCTTCTATTTTGCTTCTGCCCTCTTTTTCTTTGCCAACTCCTTTGCTTCTCGACTTTGATCAAATGTCTTGTTGTGCCCAACTTCTCCGCAATCAGTACACTTATACTTCTTCTTTACTGATTTTGCAACTTCTCTTTCAGGACCCTTTTGCCTCTTCTTACCAGAATCTTTTTCACTGGCTTTCTTTCTTCTAGCTTTCTTTGGCCTTCCTCTCTTAATAGAGTCACGAAGTGGAGGAACTCCAACGTCACCAAGTTGAGACAAAGGCCAATACTCTCTACCAGCCGTTGGTGATATGGAGTTCTCATAAATTCTTATGCACGAGTCCTTCGAGTAACAACCAGCCACAAAGTCGTATGCTCCAAACTTTGCCCTACGAATTGCTTGAATAGCATGCTCACAAGGGATTCCAGTCAGATCCCACCTTATGCAAGTACAATCCTTTTTCCTCATGTTAACGACAAGTTGCTGATTTTGACACCTCACCTCAAACTCCCCGTTGCTGTTTGATTCAGCAGACCACTTAAGAGCTTCTTGGCCTAGAGCTTGGATTTTCTTCTCAATGTTTCTACATAAAGGACCAGCCCACTTTTTGGCCATACGTCGTCTTTTGGCATATAGCACCATCACCCTCCTCCTAATCCCTTCTCACATCCTAACAGGACCCATATCCCTCTCATCCACGATAACATTATTCCAGCTCTCAACTAGGTTATTCGTGTCCATATCTGTTGAAACGAGACACTGAAAATGCGACCTGGACCAATGGTAGAATGGCTTTGCGACAAGCCAATCATAAGAGGGCTTGTTGTAATCTGACAGGCTTCTCATAGAAACTTGGAATTCAGAGATAGTGGTCGCTCTAGCTGCTTCCCAGAATAACTCCTTAACCCTCTTTGATGATCCACATGCAGCACTTAGATTGGTCACAAGATGCCTGGTACAATGACGCTTCTCACTAGAGGGAAACAACTCATCTAGTGCTGGCATTAGACCCTTCAGAATGAAAATTACAGCAATGGTTAGCACCAATGTTTATTTTACAGCAGCTTGTCAACAAAAAAAATTAATTTACAACAGCAGCAAATAAATTTAAGGCAGCAAGAATGAGTAAAAATTGCACCTTTTGCTTGTCAGAAATGAATGTCCGTCTAGGATCATCATTAATATGCAAATCGGT